TATTTGCAAATACTGTTTTCCTTTTATTGTACTGATTGTTCTATCGCAGCTAGTTTACGGAAAAAACGATAGTATGCACAGCTACAAACGCCTCAATCTCTCAATAATGTTCAATAAATTAGATCAAATTAATTACTACGACATCAGAAATATGTTTTTGTTTTATTTCATTAATTATAAAAAAAACATCTTACCTACCATCTAACAAGTTTTCCCAAAAAATAACGCAGGTTTACCCCGTATTTTGATGTTGAATTAAATAGGATGACTGTCAAAAACTTTCATAATACTAATTTACAATCATTGAACTACTGAAATATGTAGATATTTTTATAATTAAATCATTAATAATAATTTTATAAGACTCGAAACATCACCCGTAAAATGCAATATATACTAGTGCAAATCCACACGCCCACCAATACGGCACCAGCGCGTTGTGAGGTCGGACATGTGTCGTTTTGTATCGCACGCGTCCTGAACGATTCTTCGAGTGCATTCATTGTAAAACTGGCTGGATATACCACGACCGCAAAAGTTTGATCGTTGACTGTATGTAAGTTTTTACTACCGTATTAATTTTTATTGTTGTTCTCTCTCACCTATTTAAAAATTATCGTTGCTTCAACTAATATTTTTGTTATTAGCTTTTACAATGGGGCGTAAAACTCCTGCTTACCATTGTGTCAAAAAAATAAAACGAATGAATGATGCAGCCATTAAGAAAGATTGTGGAGCAAGGTGAATATGCTTATAACATTTCGCTTTTTATTTTTATCGTTTCCATGGGTGTTGGTAGTCAACACTCATCATCATCAGCTTCAATTTGTCTGAAAGTAAGACAATTTTTCGGATACTTCTGTAACTTCAATTCAATACCCGTTTTTGCGCCACATTAACGACTCATAACTTTAAAAGTATTTATTTAATAAAAAAAAAATTATACAAATGTTGTGGGGAATTTAATAAGAATAACTTTTATAAGACGTTTTTTATCAATTAATGACATTTTTAAGGTTTCATAAAGGAAAAACTACAAACATGGTCAAATAAACAACAATAATTGAAAAACGGTAACAGTTACAATAAAAAGTTTTAGACAAAGAAGTTAGAAAATTTAGTAATAAACAAAAAAGCATTTAATATTTTTTCCGTAAAGTCAATAATTTAAGAGACATAGCTATAAACGCGTTTTCCAATAAAGCGGCCAGTTGTGACCACCCTACATTCCCCGATTTAAACTTAAGCTTCTTACAATCTACCCTATATCTGTAAAAAAGCTAGAGTGCGGTAAAATTTTGCATTACGATCAAGTATAACAAGTATAAGATCGTCGGCCGCTGAGGTCCAGTCTAAAGTTCCAGTGTGGAATATTGCTCGCACCTCTGGGATGGCTCCGCTAAGTACTTACTCGATGCCTTGGATGGGTTGCAGCGGCGCGCTGCCCGCATCATTGGCGATGAAGACGTAACTAAGAAACTCGGGTCTCTACTGTGGCATCATTAAGCGCATTCTACCGACTACCACAGCGAGGGTTCTGAGGAGCTATTCTCCCTTATCCCTCCATCACCTTTTCTTCAAAGGACGCGCGCTGGCCTTCGTTGCCACCAACTTACTGTGGCTACTATTCCTATACGAACAAAGAAATTTGGTGACTCATTTGTTTGCCGTAATATTTGTACGTGAAATTCCTTACCCGCGCACGTATTTCCACCTTCCTATAATCTGGGGTCATTTAAGAGAGGCGTGTAGAAGCATTTTTGCATTCCGGTAAGGTGAGGATAGTTGGTGTTGCAGTTTATAACTGCTGTACCAGCTATCTTCGCGTTTGCACTTTATCACCACTTAACATCAGGTAGGGTAGAGCCATTTGCCTACCTAGCTATAAAAAAAAAGTAAATATTAGCCCGACATAATAATATATTTAGAATAGAAATTCAAAGCTCTATTTATTTTAGATGGAAACAAAATTCTGCCAAACCGGCAGCGAAAATTGCCGTGGCCGAAAATACTGAAACTACTATACCGACCATAAGTTCAATGGATTCGATTGTAACGGAAACTGTAAGTTTTTGGTGTTGTTAATGGAAGTAGACAATGAAAAGAGAAATTGAAATTAAATTTTATATTTAATTACATAGGAAAAAAATGCTGTTGGATTGGAAATCGAACAAAGGAAAGCGTCAAACTCAAATGTAAATATTTTATCTGTTTTATACTGACTTAATGCGTATTTCACTACTGCAGTATGTACATAGTTTACAATGTAAGCAGTCTGGTTTTTTAAACTCAAACAAATGGGATGCATTTCTGGAGCAAAAAAGTTTATTTTTAATATTTTAGATTTAGAATTCTTTGCTCCATAAGTTCAATTCACAGTAACTTGTTGATTTACGTACCATATCTGTGTCTGAATTAGAAATGTATTTCCAGTATTGCCTAAATCTGTTTATTTGTGTAGATAGTCAATAAAAAGTATTATTGTAGTCAATCAGATAATCTGTTTTAGGAGGAGTACATGGTTGATGGAAGACGTATAATTAGATTAAGATTTCGAATATTTTTGGAATCGGTTGATATCCATAAGTAAACACAGTGAAAATTTTTACTGCTTACATTTTGCACTTAGTAATGCCAGACTGGGCGTTGGATCGTTTTCAAATGCCAAAACATCAATATCACCTCAGCTGAAATAAGAACTAATAGAATTGATAACGAGCTAGGAAATTTCAGATGTTATTATAAGTATTTTGTTCATTATTGTCATGCTTTTATTAAAATTAAATGTATTGTGGCCCTTTGTCGACGTATTAATCCTCAGAGAATTATATAATACTATAGCTAAGAATAATATATATTATAAGCTTCATTGTAATCTACTAAAACCATAAAATCAATCAGTAGTTTCAAGAAAGAGACAATCATTGTACGTGAAATGTTATACTATGATGATAGCTTCAGTGATGATAGTCTTTGGTAACAATGATGAGTGTTAATTGTATAGAAAACAGCAGATCTTGTTGTATGTGCTTTACATCAGCTAGTGATCGAGGAGGTATGAACTTTCCCAGCTCCATTTTCATATTATTTATCCTGATATTTCCATACGAGAACTCGTAGCGAAAAATTTATGAGTTAGGTGTGTATGAGATGAGAGCCTATGAAATTTGATGGGTTTTGTATAAATAAATAAAGAAAATGCTCTTGATAGGTTTTGTATAAATGATGGAAATTACACGAATACAAAAAAAACATATTTTTAATTTTTCATGACTCTAAACTAAACTCTAAACTTTTACAGAAATATTCCAAGTACATAGTGAGAAAACATTTTTATTAGATGAACTACGAAGACAAAGATGAAACAACAATTAGTACAGTTTTTACTGAGATATTTGATTATTACCAAACATCATTCATCATTAAAAAAGTTAATAGGTACTAAAAAACGCAAGTAAATAAAATATAATTTCTCATTTCTACCCGAAAAAGGGATTTCATTCAGCGATAACAGTTAACAAGATTTCCATTTAATTACTAAGTGAATAAAAAAGTGAATGTTGAACAACAGAAGTTATGCAAATCATACACCAAGTTACAATAATTAGTAATAATCATAATTAATCTTTATTGTCCTTCCAAAACAAATCCAATAGGTACGATAAATATATTAATTATTTTCTCAAAATAGTAAAATAATCTTAATTCGTGTATCCTTTGCTCAACTCAGGATTCCTATCTAGAATCCTTCGTTGCTACAGTAGGGATCCATCTTAGCACTTCAAATGAAATTTCTTTTATCAGAAGCACTTTGAAAATTTGTTATGAACTAAAATCAGTTATAACTGTTTTAATTTATTATTAATTGTTAACTATGTCATACTTTAGCGTATCTAAGGGTCAATAGGCATTTTTTATTATTATAGAGGAACCGATCCATTCATTTGGTGACAAATCTATTATTTTCTATATAAATATATAATAGCTGCACGAGACTTACCTTTCAAAGAACATACCTTAAATTCATGCTGTAGTAAAAAGTGACCTTGGATTTATTGATACTTTAGTAAAAAAAAGAGCTATTTAATTTTTTGACGTGACAACGTCTTAAATTAGGTTGCGGCTGGGAGTCACTTATGAAAAAGTGTAACGCTCGGTAACGTTACGATGAGTCTCTCGTGTTAAGTTTAAGTTTACATGTACAATGTTTTAGTAAACAAAATATATTTCTATAGTTAAAATTTGTGCAATTCTTATTTTCATTCAATTCCTTGTTCCTATTGTGCAATTTAATTATATTCATATCAATAAATATTCTACCGAGAAAAAGACGTTGTCACGTAAAATCTTCGCCCGTAAAACCGACTTTACAGGCAACCATTTTTTTTTTTAATATAGCACTTTCTTCTGTAATAAATAGTTGGATTACTTCAAACACATATAAAATTTTCAGGGGACTTAAAAAGCTTAAAATACAATAGAAAGACACGACTGTCGTTTAAAAAAATAAACTAAAAAAGTACAAAATTAAACTTATCCGCTTAAAGTCGGAAGGACAGATCGCATGATAATTGATAAAAAAAACGATTGATTTATTCATTTCATTTATATTTCGACCATTACTATGAATTTCTACCTATTATTTTTGTCATTTATTCATCATTCCGCACCTTTTCTTATAATTTAATTTTATACTAGAATACTTACTTTTCAGACTTTCAAAATACTTCTATATGGTAGGAAACACCATGTTCCAGCAGAATTACAGTAGCAGGTCGGTTTTTGCATGAGAAAACAACATAAGTTTTCATTTTAGTGAGAGCTCCGACTTGCGATACGGAACGATCTAAAATAATGACGGTCGCGCGTGGACTAGTTTATACAACGTAAGTATATGCTCAAGTGGCCACATACTTTGGCGAAAAGGGTTTACCCGTCTATGCCATCTCCATTGATATATGCTCTAAATTCTGTATAGAGAACGACAAGGAGTAGTTAGAGAACCATACCAGAATCGACACCATAATCTCTGTTATCTGTGGTCTAATATTGATGGAAACACACCAACGCTTAGCGTCATTTTTGAATTTTGAATTGAAATCCGTTTCATCAAAGACTTCGTTTCTATGACGTGCCCAACAAACAAAATAGTGCCCTGTTTTTAGTGATTTTATGTTTAATAAAGTTAGTATTTGATAACTTATTAACAAATTGCTGGCACAGTTAAACGGTGCTTCATATTTGTTGAACTTTTTGTTGGTGTGCAATTGAATAATGTGTATTGAAATCATTAAATCAACTAAGAAAGATCCTACGAATCGTTTTGGAGTACCTAGTTGTGATTTTGTCAATGATAATAATTTAATTTAATAGTTTAACGCTTGAATTTTAAATAATTGTTTACTTTGATCTTAGGAACAATGTACAATCTGTAAACAAAAGTCATACACACATATAATTCTGTTTTTTCTAAAATATTTCCTATTTGTTTTAGATGTCGAGGATTCCAAAACTGCCAATCACTGGTACCAAAGAGAATAGGACTGGATTGTTGAACAAGCCCCTTTCAAGAACTCTCGCTAACACTTTGAGTGAAGCAGATAAAAAGAACTTGTTGCTGAATCATACGAGACCACTACGCAATGGACCCACAACATCAGCACCTGCTCAAAGGCTGAAGAGAGCAGCCACTGTCCCGTCTACAACGTTAACTTCTGCCAAGGTGGCTAAGATTGAGAAAAAACCAGCAACGGTTGCTCCCAAAATTCCCCCTTATGACTATAAGGCAAGGTTTAATGACTTGTTAGAAAAACATAAAGTTATTAAAGGAGAATTTAATGACTTGAAAGATAAACATGTTGAAGTATCTGACGAATATGAGAAAATTAAAGAATCTGCTCAATCTTCAGCAAGTGAAAGGGATATTCTGAAAGAAAAATTGTTAAACACTATTAATGACTTGAGGGAAAAGACGAATGACTTTGAAAGGATAAAAATTGACTTTGAAATCCAAAAACACGAAAATGAAGACTTACATCGCAAAACCAAACTTTTGGAGGAAGTTACAATGAGTCTGAAGAAAAAAACTACAGAATTTGAGCAGCTACAGACTGATTTTAATGACCTTACCAGACGTCATACTAGCCTCAAAGAGGAAACTGAAGCTTTAAGAGTGCTATCAGAACATCTTAAGAAGGTGTCTATTGAATTTGACAAACTACAACTCGACTACAAGGAAGCAAAAGAGATGATAACAAAATATAAAACAGATGCTGAAGCTTTACAAAACATTTTGGCATCTATGTATAAAGAACAACGTGACTTGAGAAATACCATACAGGATCTTAAAGGCAATATAAGAGTATACTGTAGAGTAAGACCACCTCTAGACAGTGAGGCATCTAAACCATTGTTTAATTTGAATGTCGTCGATGCCTGCTCAATAGAAGTAGAAAAAATTGAATTGAACTTCAGTTCTGCTAGGAAAGGTAAATCACAACATGCGTTTACTTTTGACGGGATATTTACACCTCATTCGTCTCAGGAAGATGTTTTTGCTGAGGTATCACCTATGGTTCAGTCTGCTTTAGATGGTTACAATGTTTGTATATTTGCATATGGTCAGACTGGTTCTGGAAAAACATATACCATGGAAGGTGGTTGTGGATCAGAACAGTACGGCATCATACCCAGAGCATTCAACATGATTTTCACCTGTATGGAAGATCTGAAGAGAATGGGCTGGGAGCTTACTATTAAGGCATCTTTTCTAGAAATTTACAATGAAGTTATATATGATCTGCTGAATTCGAGTAAAGATCAGGTATCTCATGAAATTAAAATGGTGAATTCAAAGGGAACAGATATCTATGTTTCCAATTTAAAAGAAGAGGAAGTTAAGAGTTCTCATGATTTTATCAGATTGATGATATTTGCCCAACGTAACAGACAAACTGCTGCAACGCTTAATAATGAAAGAAGTTCTCGTTCACATTCAGTAGCGCAAATCAAGATTTCAGCAATCAATGAAAAGCGTAAGGAGAAATTTACGAGTCATTTAAATTTAGTAGATTTAGCTGGTTCAGAAAGTGGTAAAACAACACAGAGAATGGATGAGACAAAACACATAAATAGATCTTTGTCTGAACTGTCCAAAGTTATATTGTCTTTGCAGACCAATCAGTCTCATATACCATACAGAAATTCAAAACTTACGCATCTTTTGATGCCCAGCTTGGGAGGCAACTCTAAAACCCTTATGTTGGTCAATATCAACCAATTTGATGAATGCTTTGGTGAAACTCTGAACTCTTTAAGGTTTGCTACAAAAGTAAACAGCTGCAGGACAATTAAAGCTAAGAAGAATTTAACAATGGTTGATACATTATAATAACATTGTTTCTATAAATAGATTATGTTAGCTAAATAACATTAGTTTGATGAGGTTTTCTACATTTTAGTTGTTACATTGAGTAAGATAAATGTGACTGTTCTGCATTGTTTGTGACAAATTAAAAATAAACAGTTGATAAAGTACACACAAAATGGGTATGTGTGGAACTTCATCAACTTTTGTAAAAAAAATACTTGATTACTTGATTTCTATGACATTCATTAGTGATTATTACATGATTATTCTTTAATTTTGAATACTTTAATGCTTTAACTTTAATCACCATTTAATATAACGAATATATTTGTTCAATGTATTTGCATGTTTTTTTTATTTCACATTGCTTTTTTACACAGTGCAGAAACATTTCATCTGATGTTAAATGTAAGTGGAGTCTAGTTACGACGATAGCTGAAGCGACAAGTATGCTGTTCCTGTCAGTCATCCTCTCCTTACATTGTTGGGCAGAGTTCGTTTTATGAACTCGTACTTGTACTGAAAACGCGATGGCTGGTTTAAGCGTCATGCCCGTGAATGGATGCTGCCAGCGGAGATGTGTCTGCTCTAACTACTTTGCTATTGAATACGTTATCTAGTTATTTGAATGACAGCAAAAAATGCAAATGATATTTCACATCATGTAAGGTGGCTATATGAATCATCTCTGAAGCCATTTTGCAACTTGACTCTGTAAGTAATGATACAGGGTGGAAAAACAGCCCTCAGTTTCTTGCCGGCTGTTCTCGGTGCAAGGTCTGCCGTAGATTTACGAACCGATACTTCGCTTCTAGATATTCATGAGTGCTTCCTTGTAATACCAACTGACTAAATAATTTTGAGTTACAGCGAGACATTACATATAGTAGGGAAGCCCAAGAGGGTAAATAGGGATTTACGAGTAACATGTGACGATATTATAGGTACGTCTTGTATTGATAAGGTTGGATGCAAAAAGAAAAAAGTTTATATGATACAAATAAAGTCCCCGGAGCCCATAGGCACGATAATATTGGTCGATAACATCGCAAGCGTTATTGCCTCAGACTACAGAACTAGATGAAACGAACAGAACACTCATGGCGTGCCACCAAAGTCAATACAAATTCAAAAGCGAATAACAACTGGCCAGTAGGCTAGTAGAAATAAAGTAAAAATTGTATTTGCTTTAGTGGCACGCAATGTGCATTCCGTGCATTCCATCTGCCTTTAGTTCTGTAATCTGTGGTTATTGTGATATCTGTTTTTAGTACATTAAGTATTAGAACGGCTACAAAGAGTGACACACTGCTGCAATAATAAATAGAAGTCACTATCGCAATAACTCATCTGATATTATCGACAGATAAAAACGCGCCTATGGGGTTGAGGCCTCGCCTTTTACTGATGGAGCGAGTACCTACAGGTTTTCAAAAATTTAAAAAAACAGTCAAATTGAAATTCTGGATCGCGTCGGATAATGGTCAGCTCTGCTTAATAGTGTATTATATTATGTGCCCCACGTGTTTCTGATAACGGAAAAATAATTAACTTCCGGTCCGCATGGTGGGAATGGCCCACAGAACAGAAAGGCAGAGAATAGGATAAAAATATATATTTTAAAAGGTCATGTGTAACGCGTTGATATCTTTTGCTATGTTTTGCTGTTTATTCGCTTCGGTGTTTTATTTATTAGTCCGTGATTTTGTTTTAGGTACTTCATGTATGAGACATTAAAAACCTTCCGTGAAACAAATGATTTAATTGATGATGAAAACTGCATCAAAATTTGGCGAGTTAGCGAATATCCGGACAGACGAGGAGAGCGGCTTAATTTTATATTTTGGATTAGTGGTGTAGGTTAGTATATAATATATAGTACGGATTCGGTTTCTGGTAGGAAGTTAGGTAGGTACGTTGCTATAAATATCACCTTTGAATAATTTCCAATAAGTTACACGTCCGAGTGCTTTATCTTCCCAGCAGCAGGCGCATTCTATTGGTCTATATGTTTTATTGTTGTTTATTGTTGTTGTTATTTATTGGATTAAATGTAACCGTTTTATAAAAATACAAGCTTTATTAAAATTATATTAAACTAATATTACTGGTTACTTTATCATTAATTCTTACTTTTTCCTGTATCAATTTATTTTTTGAAGACAAGTGAGGACATTTTTATTACAGGCAATAACAAAGAACGAGAAGTTAGTTCCTTGCTATTGTATGCTGTAGGCGTTATATAAGTATGTAGGTATTTTAAAAGTTATAGAAACGACATGTTGCGGTTTATGTCTTAATCAAAAACTTATTATGCTAGGTACATTGATTTATATTTTAGAGATATCGTTTGATGATAAGTGTACAGCCGGTCACAGTCAATCTAATCTTTAGTCCAAATTTTCTTTTTTTGCCCTTAGGCGACAGATGGCGCTAGTAGTAACAAATTATAGCTTGCATGCTAGAAGTTTTCATTGTATTTTATCAGAATTTTAGTAAAATGAAGGAAACAATAACGTTTTTGATTTATTTTTACTAACAATAAAATTATGTTTAAACTTCGCATATGTAACTGTACATAAATTTTCTATAACGTGGAAACGAAAGAAAAACACATCACATCGTCGTCTGTTGTCACTTGTTGTTGTCAGTTTTATGAGAAATTGACCATTTAATTCGATAAAATAAAATGGAATATCGTCACTGTATATGTACTGCTGAGATTCCGATACGTCTTGCATTTTCTATTACACATTACCTTTTTCTTCTTATACGAGTATCTTACTTACGTACCCACCCATTGCGTAGACATATCTAAAAATGACAACATGTTACCGTAGTGTCTTTTCCACATTACCTAATACAATCTACCGAAAAAAATTGAGCAATGTACCCGCTAGTTCTGCTGCAAAAGTTTCTGGGTTTGAGTCTTTCTTTTAAGGCCGTTTGTTTATTTGATGAAAACAGGTTGAACCCTCGCCTTACACGTAGATTCGTAGACTCGTAGACCACAGTAAAATAACATCACCTTTTGGTGGTATTGTGTTTCTGTTGGTGAGTAAGATTCCAGGGCTCCACGGGGTAGGGGATAAGGTCAGGGTAGGCAACGGTGCGAGTTATATTTTTGGTATCGCAAGCGTCTGTAGGCTATATATGGTGGCCGTTTATCTTCAGGCGGGCCATTAAAAAGTACTGTATTAGTCGACCTCCGTGGCCGAGTGGTATTTACGTTGGGTTTCAAGGTGTCGCCTATTCGAGAGATCCCGGATTCGAATCCCGGTGCGGGTACATGTTTGTGTGATGGATACGAGCATTTGTACTCCAGTTATGGATGTTCAATATGTATTTCTTCAAAAACCGACTTATATATGTATCAGTATATTATGTTTTCTATCCATTACCCTAGTATCCCATAACACAAGCCTGCAGTGCTTACTTTGGAGCTAAGCTAATTAGAGTAGGTAAGTGTTAGAAATATTTATTTATAATTCTAATTTGAAATATTATTGTTTAATAGTATCTCTTCTTAGTTTAGAACGTAGAAGTTAAACAACTTTCGTGACCGGATATATGGTTATATAGGATAGGATGAGTAGTATGGTAGACCAAAAAGTATAATTTCGAGCTCCTCTGAGCTTTGGAAAGACTGTTAAGCTTTAAGTCCCGGCTGCATCGGCAATTGTTTCAACCACCATTTCGCACTAACCTCGTGGTGGGTATTGAATTACATTATGATAGCTTGTAAGTACTCTCTATTTTGTACTTTCCCCAGCAGTGGGGGTAATATTAGGTTAATGATAAAGGTTTATTTGTATGAAGTGTTCAGAAATAATTAGGCTCGGGTCGATCGAGGACACCGACGTCATCCATATTTTTATGTTCAACTTTAAGTCTAAACATGCCTGATTATAGATAGATCCATTCCGAAATCACAGACTTTTGTGACCAGTCTGTGAAATAAACCTGATTTGTTAATAAAGTGTAAACTATAACTTGTTCCGCGATTGTCTTGAAAGCTACAAAAATCGTTACAATTTTATTAAGATATCTGCTATGACATTTTAATGACTAAATAGGTAATACAGTTACGGGCTTTGACGCCTGAATCAATTAGTCACGTGCTAATTAAGTACGATAGACAGTACTATTAGTATGTAGCAATAAATTAGGAAGTGATCTCGAGTACATTTTTACTATCTTTATTTTGAAATGTTATAATTAAATAAGCAGCTTCACATCAAATTAGCATTTTTTAGTATCTAGTGGATTTTCAAACTTCCATCCCCTTTTTCACCCCCTTTCAGGATAATTTCTAGGAAAAAGACTATCCTATGTTCTTTTCCGGGACTCGAACTATATCTTTCCCAAATTTTATCTAAATCGATTTAGCGGTTTAAGCGTCAAGAGGTAACAGACAGTCAGAAAGACAAACAGATACACTTTGGCTTTTATAATATTAGTATGGATAGATATCCATCAATGAATGAAATCGTGGTAGATACCAGCAACACGTTTTCATTCATTGAGCAGGTAATAATGAAACAAAATAAGTACAAATCAATACAATTTATTTAACAAATTAAGGACTAGATCAAAATATTAAGCGATTCATCGCGATTCTCTTTCATATGCACAAATCACAAATACATTTTGTGAACATCTCCATGCGCCGATTGGAACGCAAGGGGAGAGACACGAGCACAAGCCGTGCCGGCAGCGTGACGACCACGAGGCGAGTCCGGGCAGATCTCTCGCCGTAAGTTCAACGCGACACATCAGGTTCTGTTGCTTCATTGCCTTCCGAAGGCAACTTCGCTGTCTCTATAGTATGTATCAGTCTATCTAATCCAAATAGGAAACCTTCTTCGTGATTACCTTGCTGCCAGGTAGCGCGGTGATCAACCTGTGTACCCTCTGGCACACGTCTGGTCTTGGCGAAGTCGATTAACCACGCTCCAACGCGTTCATCATCGTAAATGATGAAGATGCTACTGCCGACGATTTCGTGAGTCTTGAAGAAGTCGGAGCGCTCAAAGAGGTCTCTGATTTCACGAAGGCGCTCGGCTAGAGCTTGGCGAGCGCGCTCGTCTTTACCCAAGAATCGGGCTACGGTGGCAGCTAATTGTTGCGGCTCCCGAACGTTCTGCAGATCTGTGAGTGGTGGCTGACCAGGCAGCTTGACGGCTTCAATGCGGAACCCTTGCTCTGCGGATGAGGAGCGCTGTTCACGGAACTGCATATAACGCAGTTTTGTAACAGCGCCTGCAGCATGCTCCGCTTTCGTGGGTGCGTTGGGATCGAGTCGGACCATTTTCTCGTATAGGTCGCTGCGAGCTCGGGCGTTGCTGACTTCATCTTCTAGGAAGGTTCGGGTGCCCATCTTTATGTCCATAACATGGGGATCCCGGAATCCGTGCAGGAGATCCTGGAGCTCAATGAAGCGCTCACCGCCGTATTCCAACTCGCGGTAGTAGCGAGGAATTGCGAAGCGCATATGGGGACAGGAAGCTAGGGCCTCGTATGCGTCGCGCTCCGGGTTGTGGGCTGGATGGTCTCCAGCAGCGCGACGTTTCCATACAGTACCGGGTCCAGCAGGCGCCAGAGATCCTGGGTGACCTGACAGTTGGAACCATTCTGATCGGGACTTCAGAAGTGCGTCCGATGCAGGAGCAGATAGTTCTAATGCATTCTGTAACAAGGAAAAGTAAAATTATTAGTTAAATATTCCATAAAAAAATTACTACTACCTATGTATTTGTGTACATTGTTGCGAATTTCAAGATTAAGTTTAAGTTACTATTAAGTTAACCTGAATTATCAAATTAATATTTAGATAAAATTTAAGAAACAAGTAAAGAGTTGGGAAATAAATATTCAGTAAATTTTGGAAAAATTAAATATAATGATACTTACAATAGCTAAAAACTTCAGAAGATCCGACGGTTGTGCGCTGGGTGCGGCGGGAGCAGGGTTGGGTGCCGGGGTGGATTCCACCGAAGGGCGGGTGCGTCCCCATCTCTTGAAAAGGAGCGCACCTTCGTCCTTACTACGCCAGCGTTCCTCCTCCTTTCCAGGCACAGCGACCTGAGGACAACCAAAAAAACACGTTGAAACATCACGTCTTAAAAATCACTCAAAACTTAAATTGGGCACACTTTCAAAATTCACTATTTCCGGAAAAACACTGCACACAGTGGATAACGTACCGCTAAAATTTTATTTGCGGCGTAGAGAAGACCGCCGGGGCCGAGGCGGCTCAGCACCGACTGGCGGGAGACACTGTTCATTTTGCTGGTGACGGTCATGGCAAACGAGTGCGTGCGACTGTTGCGCGAACACGAATGAGCGATACGTGATTAGAGTGCGGGAGCTAGCGAGGTCGTGTGCGTACGACTGCTTGCGGCCTGCGAGTAATGCCGATGGGAGGGACGCGGCGGTTTTATACGGACCTCGACTTTCGCGTGACGTAGCGGCTAGCGCGTCGCCCGCGCGCCTCCGCGCGCCGCCTGCCTTCGTCGAGTTTTCCTAGCGCGCGCTGTTTTTCACGAGGATGAGTGTTTATCTATTGTCCATTGATCGACTCGATACTGAGAAAGCTGCACGTCACTTTCGCCACAGGATTTATCAATAGCGCGTCGGGACAATCCTATAATAATACTTTGGTACTGTTGAAGATCTTTTAATAAGTGTTTAGTTTTCACTTAAAACGTTTTTGCAGATAAAATTAGATAAAACATTCAATAACTTCTATTACAGAAAATTATAGTTTGAAAACACGCTGAAATATTTAATATTGAAAAAAATTGTGCTGTTATCTTTAATTGTCGTAAAATGATTTTCTTTTAATGTCAAGATCCCTTTAATGCTTTTGGAAGAAAAATATCTTTCTTGTTCTGTATGCTGAATGTGTTAACAGTAAGTATACAAATGTCCTGTAATTCTCGTTTTCGCGAATACTTATAACATGACGTAAGCAAGTCTATGAGGTTACTGATATTTTTTTTTTCAATAATAAGCAGAAGTTCATACTTCAACCTTAAACTACGTCACTTTAGTATGTTTTTCACATCGATTAGAGAATATTGTAAAAATATCGTATTTTAATATTAAACAAAAGAAAAAGATTTTTTAGGTTTAAAATTAGAATTGACAACTACAGATCCAGGAAATATAATAAGATCAACCATTTAAAAATTGACACTAAACCACTTAGGAAGAAAAATAGATACCGTAAGTGAGGGTTACTTAAGCTCGGGCGGGTAACTTTGTCCCAAATCAGAAAAAATATTGAACTTGCCGCCCCATCAGTCTCTTGGGTGACCGTAATAGTTCCAGTTGAAAATCACAGATAGCCATATAGGCGCGTAGTGTGGTGTTGTTTTACCGACATCGTTCCTGTATCAAGTTGTCATTGTAACGCGGGATTTTTTGTAACTGAAATAGTTCGCAAGTTCATGCGCAAACTTTCCCAAAACTGTGGTTTTCGGTAAGTTTGCTATTTTTTCTAAATTTAAAGTTATTTTTAGGCAAAAACATCCATTTGTGTATTCAGTATGCTAATGGTGATCTGTTATAAGGGTTACTTAACCAACATGGCTTAAAATGAGTTTTTTTCACAGAGAAAACTCAACGAGCTAAAGTAACCCTCTTTAAGGCTTAACTTTGGCCCAAAATTAAAAAAATATATATTAACCCTTAAATATTATTTTTTCCTATTTTCGTATGATAACTTTGTAACTTATACTTTAAAGTTCACAATGGAAAGATATAAACGTGACATATTCATCACAAAGAGAAGCTACAATTTTATTTGAAAAAAAGTGCACATTTTAGGTCAAAGTAACCCGCAGTTACTCGGTATACTTATTGATAATTTTTACAAACCAATTTCAAAACAGGATAACGAGTAATTCGAATTTTATCAAGTTACATTAAAAAAATGTTTATATGAAAGTGTGTTTAACAGAAATGAATATAGGAATTTTCCTATATTTAAGAATAAGATATAAGAATAAGAATGTTGTGTTTGGAAAAACGTGAGATAAACCTACAATTTTTCTTAATTAGAGATATCTATAAAAAATTTAATTTACTAAGATTGATAGAAAAATTTGGTGTCATAGGACATTAAGTTGCACATTGCACATTTCTAAAAAGATTAAAACAATGTTATGTGGTATTGGTGGCAGATACATTTTTTTAGGAATTTTGAACTGTTTAAAAAGTGTACTTATTATGCTTTAAAGTTGTATAAAGAAAGATTGACTATAACAATGTGATTGCAAGAATAGGAGTTGGTAAGAAAATTAGTGCTTAATTCGAAATCAGGCCAGATTTTATAAAACTAAATCTAATTTTTCCGTTTATCTTGCTGCATCGAAAATGAAAAGGAGAGGCCAATTTTTAATGTATTTTTAATTTAGCGAATAATGGTGTAATACCACAACAGCACTCATTTCAATATCAAAACACAGCTAAAATGTTGCAGTACAAATTACTAAGCCACTGATAAAATAATATCTTCATAAAGCATTGTTCAAGACTTTGGAATTCATTTAATAGGTGTATAAAAATACTTATTTAGTACGCGGATTAACTAATAAACTGCGTTAAGTATTTGTTTATTATTCAGAACGAGGCATAGGCGCGCATTATGAGTGGAATATGTTATTCACGAATTTAAGTTTAAATGCGCGTGTCGTGATGACGTGTAAAATTGTGACGTAAGCGAGTGTCCTTAACGGGTGACGCAAAGGGAAGGGATGCATTGTGCCTAAGCTGGTAAGGTGACGTAGGGCGAGACTCTAGGATTTACTATACAATATTGTGAGACAGATATGCTTAAAAAGTCGTGTGATGTTTCAGTGGGATTACTTAAGACTTAGGAGCATTTTTAGTATTTTACATCTTATGCAGCGAAGTGTTTAATTATAGAAATATATAAATTTAGGCTAGGTTACGATGGGGCTGGTATGTTATTCTAAGAATAACAGTCCCTAAATAAATAAAGGTATAAAAGGTATGTGATGATTCAGTGGGATGGTGATCATATTTCTACGAGATGTCCATAGTTACAACTTGAAAACAATTACAGACAGACCTGCCAGTACCTACATTATGTATATGAAAATAAAATTACTTACAGGTATTAGATTTATTTGATAGGATTGAAAAGTTTCTTGAGTTGACAAACATTGAGAAGCAAACAATATTTGAAAGGACTTGTAGGAAGCTTTTTTGTTGCTTGTCTTTAAAACGTTAATGTTAATCGTTTATTTTTACTAACATTACTTGTTAGTCTTACGTGATACGGATACCAAAGGATTTTTCTTTTAAGTATTCTCTCCCCTCTAGAAACTGCTAAAACATTGAACTTTAAATTTTTTTTTATTTGGCTTACAAAACTGGTTACAAAGAATATCCATATAAATATATGCATACAAAAAAAACATCAACTACTTTAATAATAATAAGGTAATATCGTGCGTGTTTTATACATACTACATCTTGTAACATAGGCGAAGTTGTAAGCGCTTGTCCGTCGCAATTGCGATTTGGTCGGATTAGCAAAAGAACGGATTCTCATTTCGCCGGATCCAGTACAGTAAAATGGAGAAATTGATATTAATAATAATACAAAGGTATAGTGAGTATAATATAGGCAATGAGGTGTTATTTTTTTTTAACAAAAAACATACAAGTTTTGTCACATTTTGATTGGCAGTTTCAATAAACTTTATATAATACTTCATTGAATGTCAATGGTTGCTTGAGCTGCTGTGAACCTCTAGCTAAATAGAGCCCGAGGATTTCAAGCCAGCAAAGTTAGGGTGGCTAGTCTGACAAATTTCTGAGATCTTTGCGTTTTAGTATAATTAGTTAAAGTCCCTACTGCTGCGGGGCACGTGGAATAGAATCCCTAACAGGGAGAACGAAACATGACTGCTTGGGTGCCAACAATTGCAGATCCAAAGGCATAACGGCCTTTAAAATCACAAAGGAGATCACATTAGTAGTTTAAAGTTGCCCACCCTAAAATAAGCCATTGCAAAAGTTGCTTAACTCATGATCGCAGACCGAGACGCGCTAACCATACACGCGTCATCGAACTGCTCTGAAAACACACTGAATTTTGTTTAGTAAATTAGGTGGCGTGGCGTCAGTTATCAGAGCTTATAAAAAAAGGATGTCTACCAGTTTATCACACCTAAAAAACAATACAAGCGTCTCTACACAATGGAGTTACAGTCCGCTGGCGTCGCGAGTCACGACATCAACATCACCGCTCTAATTAATACGACGTCATTCCCTCATTACATCCAACGAAATGTGGATAATGCTCGTACATAATAGCGATGCAATTAAGTTGATGTAAGAGACACCGAGTTAATGACTTCATTCGGAAACATGTAAAACTTCTGGCTTGACAACCGTGATCGCTACACCGCCAATTACGTGCTCTTTTGTAAGATAAAAAACATTTTGTTAAATTTTAACAAATAAGAGGTATATGTTACAAAATCCTTTTGAGTATATTAAATGATGGTCGTCCAAGAAGGCCAAACAGATCTGCCTCCTGCACATCGAAATTCGAAGAATACACAGTAATTCCAATCCCAACTGAGTTACGAGCACTACAAGTGTAATGCTTCATGAACTTACTCCCCCCCCCCCCAGGTCATCGGCTGACGATGCCCTTGGCCCTTGTTTTTCGACCTACTGATATCATTTTTTTGAATCAGTTAGGAACAAGAATAAATTCTGAGCAAAAAGGTGGCAAACAAGCATATGGCAATCCCGCCTGATGGTAAGCGGCCATCATAGCCTTTAGACGCTTGCGCCGTTGCCTACCTGACCCATTCCCCTACGCCGTGGAGCCATTTTTTTTTCTTTTTTAGGGTTCCGTACCTCAAAAGGAAAAACGGAACCCTTATAGGATTACTTTGTTGTCCGTCTGTCCGTCCGTCCGTCTGTCAAGACCCTTTTTCTCAGGAACGCGTGGAGGTATGAAGCTGAAATTTATATCAATTACTCAAGTCTACTGTCCCTTGAAGCTGTGAAAAAATCAAACTTCTAAGCCAACGCAATCAAAAGATACAGCCGTTTATGCCGCAAATTTTCGACACTTGCAAGGGAATCAAAACCTGCAGGGTGCTTCCCGTGAACTCAGAATCTTGAAATTTGGTACCAAGCAACGTCTTATAGCATAGATAAAGGAAAAATTACGAAAACCATAAATTTTTAGTTACATCACATAATATATATTTTTTTAATAATTTTAACCTTACTACCCATTTCCTCATAAAC